AGCTGTCTGGGGCTCCTGGCCGTCGGGCGCCGCTGGGTACGAGCACCACGGGGCAACCCGCCGGGCCCTGCTGCCGCTCTACCTGTAGCCCTGCGCGTGGTACTACCCGGTCATGGTGCACCCGCGCGGGTCGCCGTCGACCGCGCGCGTACGCGTACGCACTGCAACGCTCCCGTCAGCATCTTCTCGCGGGGCCCGTGGCTGGGGAGCGCAGAGCGATAGGGACAAGGCGACCACGGCGGCGGATGGAAGGAAGCGGAGGAAGGAGCTCACCAAGCTCAAGCACATGCACGCCGCCGCCCGTCCCCGCCATGGATGTGCCGGCGTCCAGGTCGCCCGTCCTCCTCTTCCACTGCTGCCTCGCCTACGCCTCCCTCGCCGATGCCTGGGTCGCCGTCCACCTGCCCAAAAGCGAGCGCTGTCCTTGGATCCACTACTTCATGCTAGCTATATCGCCGCTAATTCAAGTCCTGCGCGCGTGAGCCTCGGATGCCGCCGCCGCCCCGCCGCCGCTACTACTCCGAGATGAGGCGGTGGTCCCGGCCGCATCCTTGTCGCGCGTACCGCGGCGGACCAACGCTCTGGCTGCGAGCCGGCAGCTGTGTGGTGCCTAGGCCACCCTGGGCCTGCGGCAATAGGGTGCAAGCCGTCATGCGTCCGGACTCCGAAGGAAGATGCTGCTCGCTTGAGGCCCACACACCTTGCATCACTGAGAGTTCACCGGCACGCATGCGAGCAGCAGCACATGCTGACTCAGTTTCCATGGTGAGTATACGCGGCGCACATCATCTTGCTGTGTTTATGGATCCATGGTGAGTATACAAGGAGCAGAGCGCGCGCATGCACTCGGCGACGGAGCAGTCGAGGCCGAAGCAGAACAGGGGACGACGGTGAGGGAGAGGTCGCGGCACGCGGTGGCCATCTCTGCGAGCACGAGCGCGGCATCGTCATCGGGCACAAGGTGGTGGACGCCCTCGAGGCGGATGGCCTCCACGGAGACACGTGAGTTGGTCAGGGCCGAGCGGACGCCACCAGCCGATGGCCCAAGGCAAGCGTGGCCAAGAATGCCACCGTGGCTGTCCACGTGCACAAAACCGGATTGCAAAAACAGCTAGGGATAAAATGACCGGTACGACAAAGTTTAATGTATTGAATATATGGTTTTATAGTCTAGAGGTTAAGTAAGCCGCACATGATACCTAAGGGGGTGATTTAGACTTTTTTCTAAGCAAAATTTATCTTCTTAAAAACACACACACACACAAACGAAGTAGCAGTCATGTAAAAGAATTTGTACCTCGTGGGTCATAACCTTCCAGATCTTCATCTATACAACCGCTGAAAGCTAGCAGGTGCTGCCAAGTATCGTCGGATATGTTATGGCGTTGGAGAAAGAGTATTATAGTTTCAGATAAGAAAAACACACCTGCTGAAGAACACATCAGCTACCAAGATGAATCTTTTAAAGAACGAATCTTGCACCAAAACTGGACGTAACTTCCAGCGTTTCTAGATCCTTCTCTAGCGCTGTCCGCTGTATGATGCGACCGTCGTGTGCTATACCTCGCGACTGCCACCTCGCTCGGTCTGTTAGCGCCGCCTCCCTCCCAGCCGCACCACAGCAGCAAGGGAAGTAGCAGATCGTTGCTGCTTCAGGGCCTGATTGGCATGAAGCTATTGTAAGCTGTTTTTTTTTTTTTGGCAAACACCTGTTTACATAATCTAAAGCTGTTTTTCCTCTTCTTTCGTAAAGTGATGAGCTGAAATAAAACTTAAAAAAATAGTTTATTTCAGCTTCATCTCCTATGTGGGCCTCATTGTGTACAAAAGACAGCTTTTGCCCCAGCACCAGGAAGAGAGAGAGAGAACACGCTCGCTGGGGGAAGGGAGGCGCGGGGTGTGGCCGCCGGAGCGCCGCCGCCGGGACCGCAGGCTCGGCGGCCGCCGGTCGCGAGAGTGGCCTTGCCGGGATAGGTCGAAGCTGACGTTGCCATGCACCACCCGCTTAGGCTGTCGGAGGAGCCGGACATAACCTCGTCGGCCTCGTCGGCGGCGCAAGCGGCCTGGACGGCGGCCCCGCCCCGCCGGTGCCCCTGGAGATATACCCCCATATGCGGCGCTTTTGGTCGGAGATCTCGCCGGGAGCGTGAGCTCAGCCGCCGTCGGGCGCGAGCACGGCCCTCGTCGCCGCGAGGACGAGCTCGGCCGCCGCCGGGCACGAGCACGGCCCTCGTCGCCGGGAGGACGAGCTCGGCCGTCGCCGGGCACGAGCTTGGCCCCAGCCGGAGGTGCAGGCTTGGCCCCCATCGGGAGTGCGGGGAGCAGATCGGGAGGCGCGAGCGGCGCATCCCGCCGGGGCACACGGCCGCCAGGGCGCGCAGCCGCCGGGGTATGGCCTCCGGGGGAGGCACGAGCGGCGCCGCCGGGCTCGTGCACAGCCGGTGGGGCACGGGGAGGCTTGGGCACGGACACATCTGCGGCTGCGGACGCCAGGAAGACGACGTGCAAGGGGAAAAAGAATACCGTGAACAAAAAGAAAAGAAAAAAAATAAACAAAGGGCATTATAGGTATTTTTATTCATTTGGTTCATTCTGGGAAAGCTGTTTTGATAAATACTTTTTTTTTTAAAAAAAACAGCTTAGCTTCATAAAAAAAGCCGATCATAAAGCTATTTTTTTTATAAAAACAACAAAAAGCTGAGCTATGTCAAATAAAACGGTGCTTCACACGCTTTCCGGTTGGACCTCATAAGGCTGGACGCCTGGATCCCATGTTCCCACTCTCCGTGAGACCGTGACAACTCCTACAAGATTTACAAGGTACTTGGTGCACGCCTGCTCTCTCTCCGTTCATGCCCCTCGCGCTGGGCTCAGCTGAGCGTTGTTGATCGGCTTTTGCGTCGTCCCTCGTCCGGCGAGGCAGCGACACAGCGGTGGAGGCAACAGGCAATTGCTTGCACTGTTGCGCATGCGCCTGACGGAAGAGCGGATGGAATGCAGTCAAGAAAAATGAACAGCGAAGAAGCTAACTAGCTAGGTGCCGGGCCGCTCTCCAATCCAAAATTGTGCATACACGTAACGTGGACACTTGTACATAAAAGAAAATTTCTAAAATCATAGAAAAATAATCGTACATCTTAAAATTCTAAAACTTGTTATATATCTTTGCGATGTGCCGCTCTCCAATCCAAAATTACAAACCAACCACATAGTATTTATGCTTTGCCTTCGTTTTTCTAACTTTGTGATTTTACCCTTAACTGTTCATAAGTCAACGCGATTTTGCCCCTGGTCAACGGTAAAAACAGGGGCACCGTTGATCAGGGGCAAAATCGCGTTGACTTGTGAACAGTTAAGGGCAAAATCATAAAGTTAAAAAAATAAGGACAAAATCACAATTGCACGTCTGTGTAAGGGGCAAGAACACCATTTTTTCCTAATCAATTCGTATAAAACAAATTATAAAAAAAAGATGATGAAAGCACTGGCCACTGTTGTTCCCATCTTTCAGTTCGAGAAAAAGCTATATAATATGTTTGTTATTGATTTAAGGAATCCTACCTGATCTTTAAGTTGGGAGCTCTTATTGGTCCAAGTCCTTATAGAAACAGAGGTGTCAGTGGTGGTTTTGTGCACTATATTGAGGGCTCCTTTGGCACAGATCCTCTTGGCTACATCTCCCACCTGCCATGCCAAAGGGGGTCTAAGGTAAATCTTCACTTACACCCTTTAGCTACATGCATAGATAAGCACTTGTCTACGTAAGTATCTGAAAGTTGATTTATTTTGTACCGCGAGGAGTATTATAGAATGCTTATATATTCAGATATATGTTCACTACATACCAAATTCTCAAGGCTTCAAATAATTAACAATCAAGTTGCAATTTAGGCCACGTTCGGCTTACCTTATAATCTGGCTTGTTCGGCTTCTTTTTTTAGGCGGAACAATATTTTTCTCTCACAACAATTTAGCCGAAACAGTGTTTTTCAGCTAATTTCAGCCAAGCGAACGGGGCCAGTTCAAATTTGGCATATACCCAATATAGTCTTTGTTTCCCAAACTGAGATTTCTACGTGCCCATAAAGAAACACTAGCTATGTTGGTTGTGCTTCGATGAGTAACATGATGAGATAATGAGATGAAATGTTATTTAATTATCTCTGCTACCTCAGGTACACAGGTACAAAAGCATAAATATTAGGTCCGTTTAGTTTCCAAAATTTTTTACCTTCTACAGTAAAAGAGTATGTTTGGACACATGCATAGAGTACTAAATGTAGACGAAAAAAACTAATTGCACAGTTCTCGGCAAAATTGCGAAACGAATCTTTTAAGCCTAATTAGTCCATGAAAAATCCATGAAAAGCCTTAAGTGCTACAATAACCCCACATGTGCTAATAACCGATTAATTAGTATCATTAGATTTGTCTCGCAGTTTCCTGATGGGTTCTGTAATTTGTTTTTTTATTAGTATCCAAAAACCCCTCCGACACATTCGATGTGACACTAAATTTTTTTATCTCCCCAGCTAAACACACCCTTAATAAAATAACAAGCTATCTGATTTTTATTTCTCCCTTGCATACTTTTAATGTGAACCAAAGATAGAAGTGCCCAATACGCAAATATAGGGCGTGTCTGATATCATGTTCGCACGGACGACTGGCTTGGTGCAACCGCACGTGTTTGTTTCACTGGACCAAATGAGCCAGGCTAGATAGGAATTGTGTTTGTTTTGCCTATACCAGTGGATATGGTATGGCTGCCTTGCATCATGAAGTGGTAGGTTTACCACCATCCTTCACTTGCTCTCTCCTCTCAATTATTTCGTCGAACACGCGTGGAGTCTGCCATGAAGAAGGGAGGAGACGAGGCAGAGCGGCGAGGAGATCGATGCGGTAAGGAGACGCGTGGAGTCCGCCAGTGCGCCGCAGTCAGCTCGCTCCACTGCCGGTGCCGCCGCCACCGCCACCGCCGCGCCTAATCGAGCGAGGCCATGGCCTCGCGCCTCCTCTCGGCGCTCACGCCGCTCCTCCTCCTCCTCCTCACGGCGGCGTCTCCCGCGTCCGAGGCCACGCAGCGTCCGTCTCCCACAACGCCCTCTCCAGCGAGATCCCGCGGGCGGTGAGATCGCCGCTGCTCCACCTCGACCTCCGGAGTAACCGCCTGTCGGGCGGGGTCCCGCCGCTGCCAGGCACGCTGGTGTACCTCTCGCTGGCGGGGAACCAGCTGTCCGGCCCCGTCGGCGCCGCGCTGCGGCGGCTGCCCAGGCTGTCGTTCCTCGACCTCGGCCGAAACTGGTTCTCCGGCGAGGTCCCCGGGGAGGTGTTTGCGTTCAGCCGGATCAGGTACCTGCAGCTTCGCAAGAACGCCTTCTCGGGGGAGCTCCGTCTGGCCGGGCGCGTCCCGTCGGGCGCCACCGTCGACCTCAGCCACAACGCGCTCTCCGGCCGCGTCCCGCCCGAGCTCGCCACGGCCGCCGCCGTGTACCTCAACGGCAACCGGGCGGATCCCGCCGTCGCTGCTCCAGCTCCGGGACCTGCGCACGCTCGTCCTCTCCCACAACGCCCTCGCCGGCGAGATCCCGCGGAGCTTCAGGTCCCCGCTGCTCCACCCGACATCCAAGAAGAAGAGGGTGAGCGCCTCACCGCAGCCAGGAGGTAACCCGAAGCCGCGCGTGACGCTCGAGCGAGCCAGGCCGCCGAGAAACGAAGGGGATGTCGTTTGCCCAGAGCCAGGAGAGAAAGATTTTGCACGCACCTGGCCTGGCCCGATGGTGGGTTCATGACATCAAACAGGTAGAGTTGCAGCCGGAGGGGTGTAGCCGGCCTGTCAGGCCAGGGTATCAAACACCCCATAGTAATTGTATTTGAGAATATTTTACCTTCATATTTACACATATCTAAATCACCAATTGTCCTGAAAATAGGCTGTCACGTACTAGTATATAAGGGATATGGATGTTTTTAGATAGACCTTCCGTTGCCACATCATGCGTTATCTGCTATCCCAAACTTCAATTTATTTTCTTCATGTCTAATCTAGCTATCCAATTACAGGAACTACAAGATTAACAATGGTCACCTTAGAGATGGCATGGCAAAATCCAAAATTTGATTTATCTGATTACAAACTTGAAGATCAACAATGGTTACCTCTGAAGATGGTGCGCGGCAACACCGCGCCCAAGATTTCTAGTTTTTTATAAACTATAGCGACTCTTTTTATGGCATTGGGGGAGTACGGTAGCGAGCCTAGACCAGAGCTTCAAATTCGCAACACGTAGGTATGTTAGCCCCTAGCTGCAAGCACCTCTGTTATCCATCATAAAAGGCGATGCCTTCGCTTTTGTGTAGCACACAGAATCGTGTCTTTAACTTGGCTTGTCGTCCACCCTTCTCCTCATCAGTCCTCACATGCATCCACCTGACCTTCATTGCAATGTAGTCAGCCATAAGCCATCACATGCATGAAAACAAAAGGTGTTGTTATATATACCGCATTTAGCTTTGAAGCCTGCAGAGCTCTCTCTCCATGACTCCGTATTTGCTCATTGCCAACAAGGAGAGGTGGATAAAGGGAGGAGGAAAAGAACTAGCCACCCCCATGGCCTCCAGCCTCGTGAATCTGCTGCTCATGGAGGTGGCGGCCATCGTCAGCATTGTCCTGCTCGCAACCCTGGTTGTGCTGAGCTCCTACCGCCGCCGCTCCAGTCATCCGGCACTCCGCCTCTTCGTCTGGGCCGCGTCCTCTCTTTCTCCCGCTCGTGTCCTACGCCGTCTCCGCGGCGGCCAAGTGGGACGCATCAGCGCGCGTCCCGCTCCTCCTCGCCTGGACCGTCTTCCTCCAGATCCTGCGCAACACCATCGACACCGCCCGCTCCTCCACTTCGACCATCAGCAGCAGCGGCTCCAACGGAAGCAAGTTCCGGCCGTCGGTCGAGCAGCTGGCGAGGATGGGGTGGGTGGCGTTCCTCATCATCAGCAGTGGTGGTGCCGCCGGGAGCCCACTGCTCACCGGCGTCCTGCTGTGGCTGTGGGTGCTCAGCCTCCTCAAGGTCATCCACAGGCTCGTCGCTGCCGAGCTCGCCAAGAACTCATTCGCTGTCGGCCTCAACTCGTACCTCGTCGCCGACTACATGAAGCAACTCCATGGGCATGGCCAGGCAGGCCGCCAAGGTGGACTAGAAGTGCCCCTCCTTACTTTGTGAAGGGTGAGGACAAACTGCCTATCAAGCCTAGGGCCGCATGGGTACCACATTGACAGGACTACTGCAGCTCCGCCGTCATTGTCCATGGACCTGAACGAGGGGCATGTCATCACCGTGGATAGGATATGGTCGCTTTCCTCGTCCGGCGATCCTCTCCTCGCATCCTGCCCGCAGATCAAGGACCTGTGCCTCTCTTTTGCCCTGTTCAAGCTGCAGCTCCGGCGGTTCATTGGGTGCCCACTCGCCGAGGCCGGCTGCCACCGTGCCATGGCATTCGTGCTGGACGGGCTCCTTGCTGGTAGTGGTAGCCCAGAGAGGGTGTTCCGGGTGGTCGAGGCCGAGCTGTCCTTCCTCGCCGACTTCCTCTACTCGAAGCTCACCGTCTTCTACGCCGGCGGGTGGTGGTTCCCGGCGCTCAACTCAATCCTCGTGCTTGCCACGTGGATCAGCTGTCTCGCGGCCGGCGGCGCCATCGTGCACGACATGACGAACCCCGGCACGGCGCTCGCCATGGACTACCAGAACCTCCGGGGCTACCTGCAGCACCACGACACGGTGTTCCACGTCATCGTTGGCCTCGACATACTCGTCTCCGTCTCCTTCATCGTCTCCATCGTGTTCACGGAGGGGTGGGAGATCGCCAACTACGTCTGCTCCGACTGGATCAAGGTGTCCGCCATCTGCGAGTACGCGCGACGGCCGACGTGGCGGAAGTCGCCGTGGGCGCGTCGTAAGCTCAGCCGCCTGCTCTGGCTCCGGCCCATGCAGCAATGGGACGACCGGTTCTGCCAGGTGTCCATCCTGCAGCTTCGGTTCTGCTACTGCGGCTGCGTCTCACGGCAAGTCGACCGGATCGTGAAGAAGACCGTCGCAGTGCCCGCGGCGGTGAAATCCGCCATTGTGGTGACGCTCAGAACAAACAAGGGTAGGCCCGGGAACGGCGAGCGGTCCTTGCAAGGCAACGGAGTCGCGGGCAACCTCTTCTGGGCTTGCCGTATTAAAGCCGGCGACGACAATGCCGTGGACAGCCTATCCGAGCAGATTCTCGTGTGGCATCTCGCCACGAGGCTGGTCGAGCTCAAGCGCTCCGAGGGAGCTCATGGTGGCAAACTCGACAACGACAATAATAATGACACAGATGGGGAGAGCGACCTCGACCTGGTGGTGGTTGTTGCTACACGGCTGTCCCGTTACTGCGCCTACCTGGTGGCGCTGAAGCCGGCCCTCCTGCCGGACCACCGCGCGTGGACGGAGGAGCTCTACGAGCGAGTGGTGGAGGAGGTGACGAGGGTGCTCGCGCGCTGCGCGGGGCCGGTGGTGACGTACGAGCGCGCCGCGACGTGCCTCGGTGGGAGCATGAACGCGACGCTGAGGAAGGCGTCCAAGCTCGGGCGGCAGCTGGTGGAGGAGGTCAGCGACGAGGCGTTGTTGTGGAAGGTCCTCGCCGACTTCTGGGTGGATCTCATCCTCTACCTCGCGCCGTCGGAGAACGTGACCTCGCACTCCAAGTCGCTCTACCACGGTGGCGAGTTCATAACCGTGCTGTGGGCGTTGCTCGGTCACGCTGGCATTGTTGGGCGCCCGGAGACTGACAGCACTGATATCTCAGCCTAGAATCGATTCTTTCTTCTTTTTGTACTTGCTTTAGATATGGGAAAATTGTACATACATATTGGTCATTGTTGTTTACATTTCCTCTTCTTTTTCACATGCACAAATGGAAATTTGCTTTTATATAGGATGTAATATGTATTGGCCTAACAATCTTATAGCTCTAGGCATTTTACTCCTATTTGCTACAGTAGTGGCTAGTCAAAAACCGAAGCTGCCCTCACCCAGCCACCATGAGCGCGCGGCGGTCGAAGCCGTTGGTGGCTCTGCAGAAGCTCCTCCGCCGCCGACGACACCTTGCTCTTTGTGGCCCCACAGCCTGACGAGGGTGGAGTGGTTGAAGCGGCTGCGACGAGAGTATCACCCAACCCAACGCGTCGCGAGTTGCAGGTGGGGGTCAGCGTCAGCCACTCAGGGGTGGGGCTAAAACACCAATCACGACGCGCTGGGAGGTCGCTCAGAGCTCAGCAGGGCTCACAGCACAGTCAGCTCAGTAGATAAAAATATATCTTTCTTATCCATCCATTGAGACGACGCCTGCGCTCACCATCCGCTACAGCTCCCATTCCCTGCAGTGTCCAGCTGCTGCTACTCCCGCTCATGGCCAGCGGCGGAGAGGAGGAGCGGCGGCCATGCCACGCCGCCAGCCATCATCAATAGAGAAACAGGACCTTTTAGTCTCGGTTTGTCAACCGGAATACGAATGCGGGACTAAATGGCTCTCCTTTAGTCCTGGCTTCTCGTCTAGGACTAAAGGTCACTTTTAGTCCTGGTTGGTAATACCAATCGGGACTAAAGAGGCCTCCTGGCCTGACCACGTGGGCCGGCCCTTTAGTCCCGGTTGGTATTACAAACCGGGACTAAAGGTTTTCTTTTCTTTTTTTTTTCTATTTTCAATTGATGATTCGTTTTGGTTTTTGAATAGGTTTTCGAATACGCATTCTACGCTGTTAATAATATACGTATTCTACACGCTTATAATGTTCGAACATTTTGTACAAACTAAAGTATAAAACTAACGTATATATTACATGCATATACATATATTGTATGTTATTTTATGTACATATAATATGTATATATATATTACAAATAAATCTTGCATTGTATATTCTATCATATCCTTGGGATAACAAATTCACTCCATCTGGTTTGGCTTCCATGTTTCGTTCACGTCATTGTAGAACTCGTCGGCGGGGTTTAAGACCTGATCATTAAGAAATCCTGCTATGGTCTCTTGAATTGCTTTTAGTTGGTCACGTCGTATGACTTTTTCCTTCAACCATAGAGTATTCAAAAGTTAAAGGAAAAGTATTAATATATATATATATATATGTGTGTGTGTTGGTCACGTGATTACTTATATATATGAGCAATAAAAGAAATTATGAATATATGAATATATTTATATAACGTACTTTGAGGATCTCTTCAGGAGTTCTTTTTGCGTACGCCATGATGAACTTGCAAACATAGTATCCGCAGTAGTTGTTCCCCTGTTCTTGCCTCAGAACCCACTTTTACGAGAAAAAAGATCCGGTGAATTGAAAGCATGCATGGTGTTAATTAAATTATATATATATATATATATATGTAGCTAGTACTTACTTTGTGTGCGATTACATCTAGTGGCGCTTTACAATGTTTCATGTGGTGTTCCTCAAAGAAACTTTTCCAAACACTACGCCCAATAAAATAAAAAAATAATTTGGCCTTTAATAATTATTGCCGTTAAGAGATCGGGGTATATATAGTTCTAGAGAGACCAAGTTACCCTTGGATAATATCTATCATGTCTTGGTACTCTGTTTGCTCTTTTCTTAACGAGTCTAAGATGCTCAACCGACTATTGGCCATATCGATGACCATCAATATCCAATGATTGCTGCATATGTTTTTATACACAAATATGATCGACATTAACTAGAGTCAACATATATATATGAGAGATAGCATAGCTAGTAAGCAAATAATTGAACAAATATCCATATGATCGACATTAATTATTTAACACTCACTTGATGTTGTAGGGGAAGAGTATGTCCTTGTTTTGTTGGTTCACTAAGAACCTCATGGGATTTTTCTCGAGTTCAGCTTTTCATTGAGGCGGGGAATTGGGGTGTTTGAATACGATATTTGGATCAACGAAACCAACATCATTATCCTTTTTCTTTTTGAGTTCTGTCATCTCATATCTGCATATATAAAAATATAGTGTGAGGATATATAATATATATATATACTTGTAGCTTTATATATATACACTTTTAATAGTAGAAAATAATCACACTTACAG